TGGACTGTGTTGGGGAACTGTAAGGGTGTCTAAGGTGTCTGGCTCGGAGGCTGGAACATTTGAGCAGTGAACTTGAGTGCTCTCCTGTAAAGGAGGCTTTGGCTGAAGTGGTTTTGGGATTTCTATGGGTGGAAACAGCTGTGTTGTAAGATCTGACAAATCAGTCAGTATAGACCATTTCTCTGGCTTACTGATCATCTTCCGTGACATTTTTCTTTGTAATTTTGGTGAGGGGCAGTAGTCTGGTACAATGTCCTGTGATGTGCTGCAGGTTTTCTTCGCTGGAGGAGGAAAGGAACATTCAAGATGTGAATCTTGAAGGCTTGGAGCGGTTTCAGTCCTGCAGATTACAGAGTCGCCTTTGAACTGAGTCATTTCTTCACAATGGACCTTTTCCTGCGGAGCCAACTTTTCTGTATGCCGTACAGATGCCTGCTGGGAAGCTTGTGACGCAGACATCTCTTCATTGCTCTGTAGCTTTAAACATGCATGTGTCATCAGCGGATCCCTGACATCTGTAAATAAGGTTTTAGGGGATGAAACCAAAGGGTAATCACTGTGAAACTGTCCTTTCTCTTCTCCATTTTCTTCACATAGCTCAAACACAATGTCCTCCTCTGAATGAACATCCTCTATGCTACCCACTTCCTCTTCCTCCTGCTGTAAGTTAATACTCACAGGTTCTGACACCTCCTGTTCCTCGTGCTTTCCATCTACATGCTCAACCTCAGCCTGTGGAAGCTCTTTCTCAAGCACAGAAACTGCTTCATCCTGACATCGACTTTCTCGGCTGGTTGCCATTGACGAGTCTTTTTCAATATCTGCTTCTACATCCAGAGGAACGCTTGCTTGCTCTTGCTCTTTGTTCCCATCCTCATTGTCTCTTTTAGACACATTCCCAGCATTCAATGCCAACTTTCCTCCTTGTTTCCTTTCAGTCTCCCAGTAAGACTCCAGCATGCGATCTAGTATTATCTGGAAGGAATCCACGCTGAACTCAAACTGTCTCCGAAGGGAACTTACAAATCTGAGCCCCACGGTCTTAGCTCTGTTGTTAGACAGCGAGATAAGGCTCCATCTGTCATGCTCATTGAAAACTTTCACCATCTTTTGCACGTAAGCCTCCTTCATCGTTAGGCAGGTGATCTTGCGTCTGTTAACTCCACAAGGGAGGAGGTCTCGGAGGCTGCCCAGCACCACCTCCTTAATCACCTGGAGGTCCTCCTGCCGCGGCAGCTCCACTCCAAAAATGATGTCTAGGTCTCTATAGCCCAGGACGTTATCCCTCACCAGGACGTGGCTGGCAGTCGCGCCATTAAGCCGTATATCTTTCACCTGGATGTCTCTTTCGACCAGCCGATCCTTCACCACACGTATGATGTCTTTCGCTCTCACCTGCAGTGTAGGAAAATTTCCTCGTCCATGGATGGGGATCACCTCAGTCAAGACCTTGTCCAGAGCTTGGATTTGCTCGAGGGTCAAGTTATGAAACCTCTTCTCTGTTTGCAGCTCCATCACCCTTACCTGTGAAAAAGAGGTCTGAGATGTGTATCACATTCACATTATGTCTGATGTGAGGAATAATGGACAATGAAAGGTTGAGGCAGTGCAATGGGGCAGAAAACATATTGTAATCTTAAAAAAAGCAGGTTTTTCATAATCCACTAGCCTTTCCCTTTTGTCTTCTGTGCAATATGCCCTTTTCAAATAGCAATGTGTGCAGAAAAAGCTATTTTTCACTTTACACATTGTCTGTATCACCCCAGCACCTTGTCCTTATCCTTTAGAATATGTTTCACTCGTTTGCTCTTTTGTTTTCGTCTCTGGAAAGTCTCAAATGTAAAAGTGTAGTCAAACAAATACAAAAACGCACTGTTTAAGGCTTTTGTCAGAGATGTTTCCATCATTATTCCTTTCTGGCTGCAGTATGTGCTAATGAGATATTGCTTATTCGGCAAGATGTGAAATAGTCACTGCTCAGATTTTCTTCAAAATACAGGACAGCAACATACTCAAAGTGAGTGCTACCACCAGGTGGCAACAGCATCATAACATTTGGCCAAGTCAACTGAATGGCATTGCTTGCAACAGTTTAGCTGTAAAGTCTGCAACTCATTTATTTTACCCAAGTTGAAATTATTTCTTAAACAGATTATGAATATTCTACCACATGGTAATAACAGATATTTGCTTCAACCAATCTAATGCAGACAACAAATTTCTGAGATGTGACTTTTTGAGCTGTAAATAAGATGGATGTGTCTTCTGTATTGCAACCCCTCCCACAATGCATTGTGAGTTTTGAAAGGGATTTTTTTTCTGACAGCGATTCAATACATTCCTATAGTGTTATGAGTGACGTCACAAGCGGTTTCTCACGCCATTTTGTTTAACAAACACTGATTGGCGTGTCATGTGCTGGTCTGCTGGTTACAGGTGACTCACCTGTCTGTCATTCTCTGGCTGTCAGCTGCGGGGACAATCTGGCTGATAGATCTACAGAGGCAGGCTGGACTTGTCTGTTTCTGTTGCACCTGTATATGCTCTCTTCCTCTGAAGCAGGAGTACTGAATCTAAGCTTTTCATACCAAACAAGGCATGTAATGCTGTGGTTATACACTGGACTGAATTATGTTGCTATTAAACAGCATGCTGATGATTGACAATGTGCTTATTCCTGCTGTATATAATGTTATAACATTGTATTTGTAAGAGTGAACAAGGTACGGTATCATTAATGTACGCTGACTCACTCACTACAAGCCAAACATATTTTTGGCCCATTGCAAATAAGCTTTAAAGGACCTTTATACTCTCAGATATGTTTATGACACCATTAGGCTTAACGGATCAGTTAAGGGTCCTCAGGGTGCTTTGAAAGATGAATGCTGTCATCATCCTTTACATTGTATGCAATAAAAGATATGACTTGTAATGTGCTTTAAATGATCTACTTTCAGATTTGTTTTGCCTTCCTGATTTAGTCAGCAGTGGTTGGACAATTTACACTGGATCTTTTCTGTGTGTTCAAAAAGCAGTCAAAAACACTACAGAGAAGAACATGAGTGTGTGCACATTTAAGTGTGTCTGAAGCTACAGAATAAAAAAATGGGAATATTTAGCATATTACATTTTTGCACCAGGCTGCACTGCTATTGTTTTGTGTCCAGCTCCACCCTACTACTACTAGAAAAGAAAATTCTAAATGTAATCAAATTCAATGTGTATGAAATTTAATATCTGAGTTAGAGGTCAGTCAATTATTGCAATTACCTAAAGCCTGACAGAAAATGTGAAGACGCACCAGTTTTTTTAGGTCTTCAGGTGTATGGGGCTGTGTGTCACGATTATTATTATCAGAATAATTATACTCACTTATTTTGTGTATAAATGAAATTAAATCTAGCCAGAGTGACTAAAGATTCATGTAAATAGGCTACTTCAAAACATATGTTTTATGTCAGTGGGGGGGAAAATAGCAAACCATGTTTTTTAATTTTATTGTTTTCAAAGTAGCCTGGTCATGGAATGGAATGTACACAGCATTTGATCGTCTGCTCAATGCCCAGTATGTGAACAGCCCCAATACATCCTCAGCTTGTATTAGTACTTGGCGGGCGTCAGTGTAAATGCTCGCAGTGGCAGTAACCCGGGGCACAGGGAAGCATGGACCACAGCAGCCTCTAGTGAATCTCAGGGGTTACATCAGCTCGGTCCTGCAGCAGGACTGCTCTCCTGCCACTTGGCTTCTTTATAGATAAGACTATATGAGTCATACAGCCCCTGAATGAAGCATCACTCGTTGGCTCTCCGGGATTATTTCCTTGTGCGCAAAAAAACGACACAAAATGCACCACTTATGGTGGTGTTCAAGGATATGAAAATAAAACATCTAATCAGCACGCCTGGTAAATGGATTACAGCACACCACATACTATATTATTCAGCCTACAGATTGTCGTGACATTGGTGGACATTTTTTCTTAAAACACTCATATGACCAACAACATTTTGCACAGCCCACTTTTGCTCTTTTCTCTTCTCAACAGCCTCAACATGTTTCCCCCTGAACTCAAAATGTTGCCCATGTATCAACTAACTAAATCACCACTTACTTCAAAATGAGCCGAGCATCTGTATTTTATGGTGGCCTACATATAGCCTATCCTCGGTGAGACATAAACGCAGATCACAAGTTGACTTTCGGTCTAAGTACATAAGCAGGCAGATATTTTGTCTGAAACTGGAAAATAAACAGTAACGTCAACTGCGTTTAGACACAATGAGATAACACAACAGCCGCACAATGATAAAAACTCACCTGGCCTGTGGGCAAATTAAAATGGAAAGTAAAGCCAGAGACAGCAATGCAAGAAAAGAAAAAAAAAACAGTGGATAATCCAACAGGTTTATCCGACCCCGTTGGAGAGGTTGATGCTGAAGTTAACACGGACAGTTTCCCCTCAGCAGAAGGAGCACTGTTTCCATGGCAATCAGGCGTCACGAAATTTACGGTAAATCACGACGCCCGGTCTCTCTCTCTAACTACCCGGTGACAACAAACAAGGTATCTTTGCGCCGTCCAAAACACATCTTAACAGTTTAATAAAGTTTGACTTTTTATTGGTGGCGCACACCGCTGTGTCAGGCTGGACTACCGGCGTGCCACCGCACTGCTGCCGAGCTGTTGCGGGGTGAACATCACATCAGACGGAGTGAGTCATCCTCTCTCCCCGCCGTGATCCACACCGTAAATCTAATCATCAATCAACCACCTTCACCGCCCACTACTTCGCCTCTACAACGCCACGTCCACTTTTATCTGACTGAAGACACTCACATAATAATAACAACGAGGAATGTAAGAATTACAACATTAAAAGTGCCGTGTTTTATTACTGACGGTTAGTTTTTTTTCTCTTTTCATTCACATTTTCAGAAGAGGAGGGGCGCGGGAGAGCAGCTCCCTCGTGACGTCACCACGTGATGCTGACGTCGTTCATATTTTGGTACAGCGTTAGGAAGTGCGGAAGAAGGACGAAGACCGAAACCCAGACAGATTCACTGGCAAGTTTTAGTAGACTAAGTTTTTTTACACCTCCGCGGACTAACCGTGAGGATTTCATCGTGTAGCTGTTCATACCGAAGAGTCGCCTCGAGATGCCGAGCATGGAAAGTATCCTTTAAAAAACCGTGGTGAGAGAGAAGACTGGTGTGACGTTAATAGCTTGAAAACCGAATAAACAACACGACGGGAGCTGGTGATATTTATGTGCGACAGACATGCAACATTGCTAAGTAGGTCAGATATCCACCGCAGGCACAAGTGCTGCCTTATTGAATCACCTGAACATTTCCTAGTGAAATTCAGGCGTCGTAAAATGGGACACAACTGGGCTGAAGGCCTTGGAAGCTCATTGCTAATAGCTGGAAATACACAACAACTGACACTTGGGGATTTATAGTGTAACCATATAGTCCAGGTGTTAGTTACTAATCCACATAAACGTAAATAACCAATGTGTGCTCGGCGCGGGCCCACGTCTTTACACATGGCGTGTTTTATACAGGTAATCTTGTGATTTAACACAGCGCCATGAAGGCTTCACAGGAACTGCATTAAACACAGGCAAATGAAAAGGAAACAAACAATACCAGTTTCATAACCTGTATTTGTCACAGCGTGTCTACTCAGCTAAAGTTAATAGTACAATTGTTATTGTTTTAAAGTGTAAGTGTAGTTTTAATTAGCAGACCAAATGCGGGCTATTTATTAAGAAAGTGGGAACATACAGCTGAGGTTGGATTACTAAACAAGCAAAGCAGGGAACTTCCCAGACCCTCAGGGTTCAGATTCAATATGTGGGTTCAATTTTTTGGCTATTTGTTTATTGAACATTTGTACAATGCACTGATCAGCAATTTACAGGGGCTCACAGTTCATAGTTGCCACCAGAAAGGGGTAACACATCGTATAGTCTTGAGCAAATGTATTTCCAACAATGATTAACAGGTTCTGAGTTGAGAGAACTACATGACACATGAGGACAGAGATTTAGTCAGCAATATATGAGAAGACCTCTCACTGCCATTTCCTCCAGCAGCCGTTTTTAGAGTTATCCCCAGCTATATCATTTGTCATCCAATGTTGTTTGTTGTTTGGACTTCTTTAACCTTGTATCACAGAAAATCTCTTCAATTTAAAGTTCGCTGCCAAAGAACTCCAAAGAAATGCCAAGAAATGTGATAAAGAGGAAAAAATAGAGAAGTCTAAAGTCAAGAAAGTAAGTTGCACAACTGAAGCCAGTCATCAAGCTGGAGCATCATGAAAGCCCCCTTGGCTCGTGTTGGCTGCAGAAGACTTTTTCTGAACCACTTTGTATTTTTTGTTTAATTTCTAGGCCATTCAGAAGGGGAATATGGAAGTGGCAAGGATCCATGCAGAAAACGCCATCAGACAGAAGAACCAGTCTGTGAACTTCCTGAGGATGAGCGCTCGGGTCGATGCAGTGGCAGCAAGGGTCCAAACTGCAGTTACAATGAACCAGGTACATTGAATAATACTGGGTCACTGCATACTGCGGGTAGGCCTCGAAAATCAGTTACCGCTTGTCTGTTGTCATTGTGGTTTCCATGTTAGTGATGCCATGTTTTATTCCTAAAGGTCACAAAATCTATGGCTGGAGTGGTGAAAGGCATGGATGCCACTCTGAAGAGTATGAATCTGGAAAAGGTAAAGTGGCATTTTATGTGAGATTATATGACCTTCCATATTTCTTTTTAGCAACAAATACCTAATAACAAGAAATAAAACAATGTCTCAATCCCCCACTTTTCCTCCAGATTTCAGCCCTCATGGACAAATTTGAACACCAGTTTGAAACCCTGGATGTTCAGACAGCCCATATGGAGGACACCATGAGCAGCACAACAACCCTCACAACACCACAGGTACATTTTTCTGCTCTACTCATTCTTTTTTTTTTTTTTGTTCCGACGGTGTGTTAACGGCAAGCACATTCACTGTAAATCTAATGTGTGTTTCAGAATCAAGTGGACTCGTTGCTGCATGAAATGGCTGATGAAGCAGGGTAACCTTCTTTTTTTTTTTGTCTCTTTTTTTGGAGAGTATTATTCAGTATAATGTAAGTAAATACATTGTAAGTACACAAGTAAGGTTTTGAATATTGGTGTGTGCATCATGTTTAGATTGGACCTGAACATGGAGCTCCCTCAGGGCCAGACGGGATCAGTGGGTACCAGCGTGGCCTCTGCAGAACAGGTACACATGTGTTATAATCTTTTCACATCTACTGTATATATCTCACAAATTGGGTGGGCAGGACATAGGAAATGGGATTACAATAACAACATTTCAACTGAAAGAAATGTCACATTTGTCCAAATCTCTACCTATAATACTGTGTATTTGTCAAAAAAGAGACAAAAATGCAGTGTTTGCAAAAAGTTTAATGGAGTGGATTCTCCAAATAACCCTGAATCTTCTCTCATCTCCCATCCTCCTCACTAATGCCTGTCTTTTCCCTCTCTGCGTCCAAAGGATGAATTGTCTCAAAGGCTCGCCAAACTCAGAGATCAAGTGTAAAGGATGGCTGCAGAGTTTTAGGATGCCTGTACACTACCTGAATCTTACTCGACGCCTTTTCTCCTCATTACAACTCACCTGTCTCTGTTGAGGAGCTACTGTTTTGTTTTCTGCAGATAATGGCCCTTGTTGGTTCTGTGTTTTTAGTATCTTTGGATACCTTTTCTGTAAACTAACAGAGATGCTGGTTGTAGAAAATGTATGTATTTCTGAAATATACATATTTACCCATGAGAAATGTGTAATGTAATGCAATTGTTTCATATGTATACTTAAGAACTCAATGCATTTTTTATTTTAAATATGGAGCATCACAGTTATTACCTTCTATTTATTGGCCAATTTCAAATACTCATAGTGAAGAATAAGTTTAAGGTTTTGGACTAGAATTACATTTTTGGTTCATACGTGCATGATTGCAGAAAACATTGGGGTTTTTTTTCTTGGTGTCAGAATGTAAAAGACCTTCCCCACCTTAATGTTGAATTGACTTCCTGTGTTGATTTGTTGTATTTTCCTCCTGACAAATATTTTAAGAAGATACCGGATGTTTTGCGTCTGTTGGTCTGGTCATCTTCAGTATTTTCACTGATCATTTGGGAAGGGGTTACTGTCTGGAGATTGCATACAGAAAGTAAACAATAAAGTTTTATAATACTTTTATTTATTTGCATTTTTGAAATAACTTGTCGTTTTCAGTGATTATATATAAATTTATTCCATCTGTAGTGAAACCTCCATTTTGAAAATTAACTGCAAAACAAAGTGACATACTGTACAACCTTGGCTCTGTGACATCTCAGAAATTGCAGTGTGTTTTTATGTTGAAGTAATGGCACCTACATCTGTCGGGTTGAACACAAGAGGAAGGGTCTTGTTCATGATAAAGGTGCCAATATTTATAGGGGAAAATCCATAAGAAACCTTGTGAGAAATTTGGTGCAAATAAATCACATAGGGCAATAATATAAATGTAATATAATAACATAAGAGGTATTTCAGGTGTGTCAGGTTTAGTAAAAGGTTTCCTAATGCCGATTTTATCAGGTCACGTCATTGCCAGGGAACTCTCATTTGACGCTCTGGCTTAAAAGAGCCCCGAGATACCGGCAGAAATGTCAGAAATGTTACAACCATCCCAGGTCTCCCGAACCTGCTCCCAGGACGAAAAACTCACTCGTTTTAGTGAGATACAATTAGTTACAATTGTCTGCTATTAAATGTTACATGTTCATAGCAGACATGTAACAACCAACCCCGGTCTCCTCTGCTGGTTGACACAAAACACCCTTGAAAGTCTTAAGACAACATAACATTATATTGACATCTTTATTTAATAACTCTGGTTATGACTCTTAACTTTTGTTCTTTCATGAACAGACTGAGGAATGGGAATCAATTTTTTCCTGTTTCAAACACTCTTACAAACGGAGACTGGATGAAAACACATATAGGGCCCATCTATGGTCCGTTGTTCACCGTGGCCCGGCCTCTGTCGTGCTGCAGCCGCACTTTCTCTTTCTGTCCACCTGCTGTTGTGCTGCTCTACAGGAGGGAGGTTATTACATCCATGATGAGGGTGCTTTAACCCCTCCATACCCATGACGTTTCATTGCCATCTAGTGGGCATTGTGAGCAATAGCCACGCTTCATCATATTCGTTGATCGGAACAGTGTTAATGTCTGTATATGTTTTGATGAAAGTCCATTCAGACCAGCAGTGAATTTCTCTAGAAGAGGTTTCCAGTCAGGCTTATTACAGAGACACTAAAATAGACCATAGCAATACTTCATGTAGCTTACCTTACCTTAAAATGGAGCCTAAATGGAGTCTAAATTAAATTACAGTTAAAAGAACTAAGAGTGTTTATTTCCCACTATGGATGAATTATTGATGACAGCAACATTGCTTGTAAGCAGATCATCATGCATAAGGTGAAAAAGAAAACCACAGGGGTTTGGGTCCCAGCAACAAGCATCCCTAAGAAGGAGCACAAGTTTCTCCTCTCACATGGTCTGTGAAAATAGTAGTGCAGAGATGCATACGTTCTTTCGTTGTCACCTATATGTGTTACTGTGGTCTCTGAAGCAGGTGTCTGTATGCTTTACAACAGTAAATGTTGATGCAGATGGTTCATATTTAAACAGCATGCAGAAAAAACAGTTTAGGCTACCTATTCATACAAGTATATTATTTTAATTTCACATCTTAGGACTTACTGTGATTACTAGACACAAGATGGAAAATCTGTTGATGTTAAGTGTTTATAGTAGCCTAATGATCATTTACTTGTTAATAAGTTCCCTAAACTCATTCATAAATTATTCTACCAACAATTTAATCAACAGTAAGACATTTAACTAAAATGTTTATTTTAGATTTAGAATATTTACTTGAAGATACCCACTCATAATTAACATTCAAACAGAGAGCACTGAAATGTTTTAATCACCTTAAATCCAGTCCCCTAGACAGCATATACCGGAAAGCCCTCCAAACCCAAGAGCTAAGTCCAGAAAAGAGTCTCGCTGTTCTGCACCCACTCAGACCATGACCAGTCTCACAACATCACCAATCAGATTAAACAACGCAATGTAAAGAAACACTGGAAAGAAGAAACTAAAAGCCAAAGTAGATTGAATCGGTAAGGCGCTAAAAAGAGATTATAAATTTACATTCATAAAAAAATGTTGCAGTGTGTATATATTTAACAGTATTTGCTTAATTTCTTCATTTGTATTTTTATTGTTAATACAATTAATTATACATTTTAATAGCACAATTCTTCTGTTTAAGGAGGCCTACACTTGCGCAAAGTAAACAGCTGTTTTCCATGCTAATGAAGTCCCGTTGAATTAAATTATCTTATATATAACATTATATTGTTGGTTTCTTTGAGTGTACCTATGAGGGAAAATTTAGACTCAGATGAGATCATTAAACATATTATTTAATAAGAAAAGGAATTTTAAAAAACAGATTCAGTTTTAAAGGATGGTGAATACAACTATTCCAAATGCCTTCAATAGTTTCTTTAAACAAAGTATGTGGAATTAAAAAATATATATTTTAACAACATATGACCTAATATTTCTCTCTCCGTTTTTAACTTTCTGCTTAAGAGATCGATAAGACTGCGGACCCTAACCTAATCTACAGTCCCTTAACGAAGCAAAAACTGCCTGTGAGACAAAACTCAGGGCTTAAAGCAAGACATCGTCATGTGACATTGGCGTAAACAGGAAGCAGCTGATCTTCACTCCACTGCCTGCTTCTACCAAGTAATGTATAACGTTACAACATCTTAAAAAATAAAACTGTAGTGTAAAATTGCTTGAGTTTAAGTAACCGCTCCAGCCTGTTGGGGTAAGTACACTATTGAATTATAACTTTGCTAGCTAGCAGTTTAGCTTGGTGAAGCTGCTTGACATTTATCTGGATTGTCTGTCGTGCTAGCTAACTTAGCATTAGCTTAGGTGTTTGTCCGGAACAAAGAAAAGAGTTTTAATCAAGTTGGTAAACTGTTTATATATTCTTTTGAGTCTAATAAACTCATGACCGGTTATGTGTTGTAATTGTTTTTCATTTAAGCTTTTAAACGCGTAGTTATATCAGGTTTTTGTTTCAGCACGTGACAGCTAGATGAAAAATATTTGTGTTTGTTGAGCAGTTGAAGGAGAGGAAGAGGAGAGCTGCTGCGGACATTGACTAAAGTCATCTGACTTGCAGCTCAGACAAATACTCTACATCGTGTCTGCTGAGGGGGATGTCAAGCACAGCAATGAAAAAAAAGGTGAAGCATTGAGGCTAGTCACTGACTCTTTGTAGCATCGCAACTACATTTATTTTATATTGAGGTGCTTTACTCAAGGATTTTCATTTCATAAACAGTCTTTTAGATTTGGTGCTTTAGCTGTTCCCAAGCCTTAACATGATTCTGTCAGCTGTTGTTAAAACCACCATAATAATGGAAAATTCACGTTTTCAGGTCAAATTGGAATATGATACATAGTTATGGATTCAACAACCTTGCAGTATATAAAGAAATTACAATGAGCTCCCTCGACTAGCTACAATTTAAAAAATAAAATATGATTACACATTAATGTACCAATGATCACAAAATATAAAATAAAGCTGATGAGTTATTCTCCTGCATGAGTACTTTTATTTTTAGTTTCTTCAGTAGGACTTCTTCTAATTAAGTGTTTTAAATGACGATATTGTAACTTTTTTATTTAAGGAAAGATTCTGAATATTTCTTCCACAGTTAGCCATGAGAGTAGAGGAGAGGATAGATAAGGTTTTAATTTCAGTGGTGTCTAATCTGTTGCATTTATTCTTTCAGGTGTTACTGATGGGGAAAAGTGGGTCTGGAAAGACCAGTATGAGATCAATCATCTTTGCCAATTACATAGCTCGAGACACACGCCGCCTTGGAGCTACAAGTAAGAGAACTTTAAAGAAAAGGACTACTTGAAGATAAGTTTTTGATGCTAGATCTTTCTTTAATCTCGTTGTTAAAAAAATCTTTTCATCCGGTGTTTAATGTAGTTGACGTGGAGCACTCCCATGTACGGTTTCTTGGCAATCTGGTTCTAAACCTGTGGGACTGTGGAGGGTAAAGTACATGTGTTTATTATTTGCCATCTTCGGACAAAGCTTGACAACTCAAAGTCTTTCCCCTAATCTGAAAGCCTCTGTGAAACGTTGCTCTGTGCTTCCTTTACCCATCAGACAGGACACGTTCATGGAGAACTACTTCACCAGTCAGAGGGACAACATTTTCAGAAACGTAGAGGTGCTTATTTATGTATTTGATGTTGAGAGCCGTGAGCTGGAGAAAGACATGCACTACTACCAGTCCTGTCTTGAGGCCATCCTGCAGAACTCCCCCGACGCTAAAGTGTTCTGCCTCGTTCACAAAATGGATCTGGTGCAGGAAGACCAGAGAGATTTGGTAAGTTTAGCAATTTTTATTTCATTATTAGTAGTAGCTCTCCCCTCTGTGGTTTATCTTTGGCAGATTTGGTAGTGGTAGGACTTTATTGAAGTAATTTTACCTGAAACTGACATAACATGGATTTGTTACCAGCATGACAATAAAGTGACATTAAACCATTTTGAAATTTTTGGCTCACAAGATTAAACCTTTATTACACACAAGCTGTACAATTAAATCATTACTGTGCCATAAATCAGCCAGCCATGACACTAGGGACAAAGTAGATACATTGAAAGATTGTACAATATTACAATATTTTTAACTATTTAACAAATTGAGATGTGCCGATGTAAGCTGCTTACATCTCAATAAGATGATGATTTTTTAAATATGCAAAACTATTTTAGTGTTAACAACAGCGTGGTTATTGTTTTGAAGGAAGATGCAGAATGAAGGCAAGATGAGGTGGAAACAGATGATTATGCTTTTTTTTTTTCTGTCAAAATCCTGTCACTTGACCTAGGCAAAGATTTCCCCACATACACTCACATGTGCGCACAAGTTATCGACCAGCTCTGCCTGAAATCTGGCGCACACAGCTTCTATGGTGTAGGTAAATAATACTGAAGGGTGGAATAATGAACAGTTGGACTTTTCAGGGTGCTTTCTAACATCTGGTAAATATGAGAAATGAAAGTTGCCCTTTTGCTAATTTTGCGTGCCCATTTGACAGTGTTTTTTCTTTTTTTCCCCCTGTTTGTCAGTGGGTACTTTCTCTTTTGAAATAAACTAAGCAGGGGCGCAGTTGGCTCAGTTGGTTGAGCAGGTTTGAATCCTGCCTGTGGCCCTTTGCTACATCAATCATTTCCCAGTTGTCCACTCTCCCCAAAATGCCCCAAAAATACAATAAGTATTAATATTATATTAGTATTATAGTGTAGTATTATTGAATAATAAATTAAAACTATGCAGCAGAGCAACACTGAATCCTGAGGTGGTAGTGAAACATAAAATAAACAATATCAATTTAGCTACCAGTTTTAATAAGAAATAAACTTTCTTTGTTTGATTTATTTATTAATTTATTAGTGATATTGAACCAAGGAAAAGTCTTAATTGTTTCAATACTTTCTATGGTTTCCACAGATCTTTAAGGAGCGGGAAGAAGATCTGAAGAGACTGTCCAGACCTCTTGCTTGCACTTGCTTCAGGACATCAATCTGGGACGAAACCCTGTATAAGGTTGAGACAATTCACTGGTTGCATGTTCAGATGTCGAGTAACAAAGTTGACACCGTAAGAAACATTTTTAATTGTCTTTGCAGGCCTGGTCTAGCATAGTGTACCAACTCATCCCAAACGTCCAGCAGCTGGAGACAAACCTGAGAAATTTTGCGCAGATCATAGAGGCCGATGAAGTCCTTCTGTTTGAGAGAGCCACCTTCCTGGTGAGAGCAAACGCTTTCCTCTGGCACGACAGCGTCTGGGCAGAACATCTGAATCTAGTAATGACAGTTTTTGCATGGTGTTTTTATAAATGCAGGTGATCTCCCACTATCAGTGCAAAGAGCAGCGTGATGCCCACCGGTTTGAGAAGATCAGTAACATTATCAAACAGTTCAAACTCAGCTGTAGGTAAGTACAAAAAACATCACTGTCACTCCACACATCACCTGCTGAATCTTTATGGTGTTTCTGATTTAAAAAAAAAAAAAAACCTTTCTTTTTCCAGTAAGCTCGCAGCCTCTTTCCAAAGCATGGAAGTGAGGAACTCCAACTTTGCGGCCTTCATTGACGTCTTTACCTCTAACACATATGTCATGGTCATCATGTCGGACCCTTCCATTCGTAAGTAGAGAAGATAGCGTTTCTCTGCAGCGAATGTACAGTCAAGAAACCGAATCAGCATAATTTAAAAAAAAATCCATGTTTCTGTTTTCCCAGCATCTGCAGCCACTCTCATCAATATCCGTAATGCTAGGAAACACTTTGAGAAGTTGGAGCGGGTGGATGGACCCAAGCACAGCCTTCACATGCGAATGCGCTAGCCGGCGCATTTGTCCCACTGGATCCTCTCAGCCAATCAGTCCACAGACTGCAGACAACATGTTGCGGTCTTCCAGCTCTGTAACCTATGAGCAGCCCTGCACTGTTTCCTCTCTCTCTATATATATATATATATATATATTCACATTCAATCACAGTTACTACGGGAGAAATCGCATCTTCTTTTGGTCTAATTTCTACAGTGATCACATATATCTTGAACCACGATATAGTCTGTTGAAATATTTGCCCTGTCTCTATGCATTAAAGTAAAATGAAAAGTTACCTTGAAGGGGGGGGGGGGGGCTACCTTTGCTGTCACACTTTGTCTTATAAAGTAGTTCCATTCACGATGTGCAGTGAATCCCAGTGATCGGGGGATGTTATCTCCAAATGATAAGCAGCAGATACTGTTTGATTTTCAAATGCAGTTTGTAAGCTGTTAAACTTTGAAAAGTACGAACAATATAGTTATATTTCAAAAAGTATCATTTGTAATGTGTTTTTTCTGCTTTTATCTTTGGATAGTGCTCGCCACTCAACATTTACAAAAATTTAATTTTTATGGTACTTATGTTATGAACAGATATACATATTAGTACACTTTTACTTCCTGTGTGATTTGGGGTATGGGTAGGTGCGGAAGGGTGTACAGGACAGTTCAGTGCACCTGACAAGCTAGTTGCATTGAGTTGACAGCAGTGTATGTGCAGATGGAGCAGCATGTTACAAGCACAAGACAGTCAGTTCATTTCAGTGAAAATAATACGACAAATAGCTGAGTTAAGATGGTTTTAATTTTCTTTGTTAGTAGTATCTGAATTAGTACTTTAAGAATACTTTAGAAGCTTTTCTTTTTACATTAAACATTCATGACTACATGAGAAATTATAAAGGTTACAAAGAGGTATTGTTTGTGAACTCCCCAAAACTCTGCTAATCTGCTTCATCAGGTCTGTGTGGGTGTGGTTTGATCAGATTTGATTGACACTGAGAGACAAATAAGTCAAAACCTGTCATCTTCTGATTCTAAATGGTGCTCAAATCTGATAGGTGCACTAAATTTTATGACATCACCCTTTTTGACTGAGCCCCTCCCAGCACAAACCTGCTAGAAGAGAAAAATGCAGAAATATCTCATGGAAAATATCCAAACTTGTTCTAACTTTGACAGAAAATAGTGCTTTCATGTGGGGACCCCATCACTCATAGGAAGAAGCTGAGTGAGAAAATCCATTTTCAAGGCCATTAAGTTTAAGAGATTGGCATGTTGCCATGTGCTGTAAGTGCTGTCACTTCTGCTTTTCATTTATAGCAAAACATTGTTTGAGCCAAAACTAAATTTTGTTGCTGTTCAACCACAACCTATATCTAACTAAGTAAGCATGGTTCTGGTGCTTTGCGGGTGAATAGACGTTTGGGCCTCTTGGTTTAAACTGGGAAATTTAGTTGTAAAGTGAAAGAGTTGCAGACGTCTATATTACGTGAAACATTCTTTCAACCGCATTTCAGTGATATATTTCAATTTAGTCTACCCTTACATTGAAATATAATTGTTGAAATACTCTAATAGAAATCTAAAAAGTTAATATTATAATCAAATCTAGCTCATATAGATTTTGTTTACTGGGAATTTTACAGCTCATATTAAGGTTATATTCAGGCTGAGACTGAGCTATGTACTGCTGACATGCTCATCAGTCATGCTGTTTGTCCAGCCTACAGCATGTACATTAACTGGCCGATTGTCCATGGTACTCGATCCCACCCACTCCTTCAGGGGCTGCCGGGGATATGCACTCATTACCTCTCTTTATTATAGCCTGCTCTGCTGCAGAGGCATTGTTCCAGCTGGTCTTATCGACACTGCTCATGTGGTTGACTTGTATCCTGGAATGCAAAGGCTGAATAACTGGAAAATCCCCGGTCCCCGCTTCAGAGAGTGAGTCTGCATGATAGAAATGGGAGTAACTAAGAGACAAAGTGGCTTAGACATTTTAATACTGCCCCGGTAAAGTAAATCTTAGAGCAAATAAAACTCTCATTAAATTGAAGCCCATTTGTGGCAGAACTGAAAAAACTACAAGCAACTGCAAATTGCATGTGAGTCATTTCACAAAAGCCCATGTCATTTTCAATGCAAGAACTCTCCTGAAATGTTTCACAAAAGCCAATGTAGGGAAGAAAATGTCAAAAGATTGTGGTAAAAATCGTCATAGTATGCCTGATTCAGATCTATCCTGGAAAATAAGGACACTGGAAAAATAATTGTTTGTGTATGTAATCTCAGCAAATCACCTTCTACCGTCTCTCCTTGGACTTTTTCCCCAGGAGGAGCAGCAAGAGACAAGGTGTACAGGGCCAGAGCACAATATGTCGAGAGAACTGAATCTCAGCTGACGCAACAAAACACAAGATGTTTACAAGTGCATGGGCATAGCAATGAGCAGTGTTTTCATGTTTACTGACATGCTGATATCTCTTTACACTCAGCTAAACTGACAAAAACAGTGACAATGGAAGTTAAAAAAGGGTCATGAGGTTTTTATACAGTCTTAATGAGTCTGAATCAAGGTATTTCAGGAGATATGGATCTAAAATCTCCTTAGTGAGACAGTTAATGTCTTGTCTCTTTGTCCTTTATTTGTACATTATTTCGATGTGGAGACCCATCTGTTTGGGCAACAGGCCCAGGGTCTGTATCATTCACTGCTTCTGCATCCATGTCATCGCTTGCATCTGCGCCGCAGTCTGTTTGATTCTGCTGCCTCTCCAGCAGAGTGATGCGCTGCTTCAGCCGTTGCTGAGTGTGTGTGTATTCGCTGAGTAGGCGGGCAAATCGAGTCTGAAGGGTATCCAGAGAGGACTCTAGCCTCTCCACCTTCTCCTCCGTGTCCTCTTTGTGCAGCCCGCCGCTTTCTGCATTTTCATCCAGCAGACCCTCCTTCATCAGGATCTCCCGGCCCCTCTTCTCTAGCACAGTCTTAGCATCTGGATACTCGGTGACTGCCTCCATCAAGTCATCCTTAGAGAGGCAGAAGAGATCAGAGTAGCCCAAGCTGCGAATGTTGGCTGTCCGGCGATTTCCCATTTTACTGCCTTTTATGTTCAGAATGCTGATTTCCCCGAAGCAGCTGCCAGCAGTGAGAAGAGCATACTGTGTGACTCCGTCTTCAGCCACCACAGCCAGCTTCCCCTCTTTAATGATATACATCTCCTTTCCTATGTCCCCTTTTCTGCAGATGTAGTCTCCTGGACTGAAGACCTGTGGGCGTAGTTTGAGCACGAGCTCCACCAGCAGTCCTGCCTCACAGTCTTGAAAAATGCGTACTTTCTTCAGGGTCTCCAGGTGTACATTGATAGCAATCTCAGCCTGCAGTTTGTTTGGTAAGTTCTTTAGCACCTCCTGCTCATCCACTGCTTTCTTGTTGGTCCATAGGTAGTCAAACCATTTAATGACACGTGTCTCCAGTTCTCTGCTGACTTTGCGGAAGTGCATGTAGTGTTTGATGGCATCAATCCGAGCTTGAAACTCGGCCCGTGTGGCATTCATGTTGGCAATCATGGAGCCAACGTTTCCCACAATTGTGGCAAAGATCAGCACCCCAACAAGAAAGTCAAAGACCACAAATAGGTACTCTTCATCTCGCACGGGTGGAGGCACCTCTCCAATTGTAGTAAGAACAAGAGTCGACCAGTAAAGACAGTAGATGTAACTCTGAGTCAAGTCGGAATAGTGAGAATACGCAGATGTGGAGATGTTTGGGAACACCCAAGTGTCCGAGCCAAATCCCAAAGACTTCGATATGGCATAGTAGATGCAGGCATTCCAGTGAATGATGACCAGGATGTAAAGCACCAAGTTGCCGATACGGAAGATGTTGGGGTAGTTGGTTCGTGTCTCAGTGCGGTCGAAGAATTCGAACATGCGCGGGAAACGCAGCAGACGGTTAAACCTAAGTTGCGGTGTGTGGATACCGGTGGAGATGTACGCCAGGTCAGTGGGCAGGATGGACACTACATCCAGCTTGAACTGTAACGTTCGGATGTAGCTGTCCCTAAGTTTGGCTTGGTCCTTCACCAGCAAACCTTGCTCCAGGTATCCTGAGACAAGAAACACAGAGCACATATTAAGTTGCACCAAGGGCGCTACCAACATCCAGCGACTACTGAATTGTCCCTGGCAATAAGTTTGATATAACCACTTTGGTCTGTCGAGCATCTAATCAATGCGCTCTGTAGAGTTTGTCTTTTAGGCTACTGTAGAAACATGGCGGTGCAACATGGTGACTTCCATGTAAGAGTACCTGCCGTTATGTTGATAGAAATGGCTCATGCTAAGGTAATAAAAACATAACGGCTCATTATGTAAGGTCTTTATACACCACTGAATACATAGTTATGGATATTATATTGCATTTCTGTCAATAGATCCTACTAAATATTACACACTGAACCTTTAAAGCATAGACTCACTTCACGTGCCAAATACTATAAATGTTGAAATTGTAGCTAAAATGTTACATTTGTTTACTGAAGGTAATGATCATACCAGTTTCTAGAAGTGCTAAGTCAAAGGCAATTAGGTTATCAAAGCATTTGTTAATCGGCTGAAAGTGACATAAACTACGCCTATTTCCACCAGGATGTTCGTATTTTTCCACAGAATAATTTGAAAGATTATTATCTTTGAATAATCACATAAAACAAATAAACGCATTGGGGCTTTTAATGCTTAGCATTTCTGTTGTGTAATACAACTACACTCTGTCTTGATGCCAGAATCTGTATTTTGAAATAGGTTACCTGTGCGAAGACGGATGAAAGTGTCTGTTATGTACACAAAATCCGAGAGGTAGTCCAGTACCAACCAGCAGATGTAATTGTCCACCTGTAACATGTCAAAGCATGCCCTGTGAATATAAAAAGAAACAGGATTTACTGCTCTAGTCTAAGAAGTGGACAGTACACCCATTCTCTACATCCATCAGCCAACTCTGGAGGCTGCAGGGCCCAAACAGATAACGAGTGTGGTGTTATTACCTCGCAACGACAAGGCACCAGTTGTAGAGCACTGCTGTGGCGATGACAAATAACCAGCGGTAGTAGGCATTATCAGATGGGGATACCACAAACAAATCCCACTTTTTCCTGAAAGCATGGATAGATTGCAAGTAATACACTGAGACACAACTGTGGCTTATGTTTCTGTAAAGTCGTACATATTACTGCAAAGATATACAGAAAGATAGAAGCAGCTGCAAGATTTAAAGCAGTGCAATACAATAGCTCTGCAATAAATACTAACTCGTCTGTGGTTGTGATGTGGGATTGTGCTGTATTATATTAAAAGGTGTTTTAAATATTTTGCCCTCCTTGTTTTCCTTGTTTAGTGAAGCTAAATTATTAGAAACACCTCACAGTCTACTGCAGTCACAAACACAGCAACATATACTACAACTCAAAAATGAACAACTCTGTGCTGAAGTGCCCTTTTTTCTTAAACCTTTATTTAATCAGGACATGTCTATGACCTATTGTACACTTCAAGGGTTTTATTTTTGCCCTGAAGCACCTCTGATTTTAAGTGTAGCTCTGTTGTGACCTCTGGACAAAATGAACCCTAAACCCTAACGCTGGGTGCTAAAGAGGTTCCCCATGACTGTCTAAGTCTTCATCTGGTACCAAAAGTATTTTAAAAGTTATTTAGGTTTTTAGAAAGGTAGTATTATTATAGAACTGTTGTACTGCACTGCATTACACTGTGCTGGTGTTTGTATTCTTCTAGTCACCATGTGTATGTAGTGGGTATCAAAGTGCATAGTAATGGTTCAGGGTAACAGGCAGGCATACCTAAAGATACCTTTGGCATTGTTGCCATTGGCATCTGGTTGCGTGTTGCTGATGCGGCTGGGGGCTATTCTCAGCTCAGGGCCACGAAAGCGCTCCAGGAAAGAGTCTGGCCGCTCTTCCTCCTCCAACAGACTCCTGTGTGCCCATTCCCTCAGTCTCACCACCAGGCCCACCAGTCTGACACACACACACACAGAAAAGAAACACACAAGCTCTATGAAATATCACATGCGAATCAGAGCTTGAGTTAAAACTCCAGTAATTTAGTCTGGCAACAGCTCGTAACATTTTAAATAACTTTCTCAGCATGTATGAAAACAAAACCATGACAGTGACACACAAAGGGACACATCTTCAAGGAGCCGTATAACAACTAACAACCATATAAAAAACATCAAATGAATTTCTATTCATTTGCGTCACTATCAGAGGCACAATTCCTCCAGCACAAACACAGCTGCAGCTGTCAGTGGCTCTCACAAAACCAGACAGTGGAACAGGAGAAAGGGAGATGGAAAAATCACTTACAACATGTCTTTCCCCTCAGAAAAGTCAAAAAAATAACCTAGAAGTAGTAATAAATGTGCAACATACCTTTTTTTTTAACCAAAAGCACACAGGTGAAACCGATACCACTTATGTTGACTATAGTCTCATTTGGTTAAATGATTCTAGCAAAGAATCAAAATTAATCTTTAAAATTATACAAGTAAGCTTTAAACATATCAAGCTTTTTGGGGAAAACATCCTCAAAGAAGAAGTATTTTATCGTGGCATCCAGTGAATGTTTTTGGAAACAATAATTATCTTTACTGTCAAATATTTCCATTTTTAAACATTTAGGTTTTAAAACCTTTCTCTAAGCAAATGAAATAATCATCTGTCAAACAGGGCTAGATCACTTCGGTCTCTTGAATTCTCTTCAACGGATTTTCTTGGTTTTCATCAAATGATTCTGGGAAAGGCACACCAAGAAGAAGTTTTACACAATGACCGAACAAGATGAAAAACCTTTTCTCTGGGTTTATGCTCCTAGCAAATGCGTTTCACCAGAAAAATATGACCAACAGTTTGGTCATCAAGGTCTTTGTGAGCTTGAATGTGTACTTTACTACTTTTATTTATTACTTTTTGTACCTAATTTAAACTCATAGGCTAAGTTATTAAAAAGCCAGACTCCGATGAGTCAGGTTATAAAAGCCTTGTGCAGGGGGCTGACGTGCCATGGCTGGTGCTGTAAGAACTTTACCTTGACATAGCCCCGCTCCTTTGAAAAGAGTTCCTGGAATTGCCTCTATGAGGGTCGAGAGCGGCGACTCTTTGTAGCTCTGATGATGTGTCATCACAGACAGATGGCATCCTGGGAGATAAGAGAGAAAACACAGCAGCTTTCAAATGCTTTGCCACTCCTGGGGAAATTAGGCTGGCAGGGTCTGCGTGGCGGGATTTTCTTTTAAATGTCTCCTAAAAACGTAATTTTACCGCAAAGCATAACCTGATTTTAACTGAGCTGTCAGTCATTTGTTCTATTGTTGCCTGTCAATTTATCATTCCTTGATTCATCTTTCCTTATGTCCTTCAGAACATATTTGTTAAACTCTACTGTGATCCTTGTTCTTTCATGCTGTATTTTAACATCATGTATCTTACTACCCATTGGGGTTATGTGTGACATGTTGTGAAGCACTTTGTACTCTGTTTTGATATGTGCTATATAAATAAAGCTTATTATTATTATTATTACTCTCAAACTGACCTCTGAGACAAGCGCATCCTAATACATTTTTTTAAATAGTTGTCACCTGCTGAGAATACTCTCGGTTCTCTCCATCTCCTCCTCCAAGGTGGTCTTTACTGACAGATTGTGTGGCGACCGGTCTCTCTCCGCCGCCTGGCCCGTCATCTTCAGATCTGCAGGCGTGGACAAGCACTCACGTTACGGACTCCTTTACAGTTATCTGCTCTATGTGACTGGGAGTGTTGAACATGTTTTCAGTCGACTTTTCCTGCAGTAACACTATGGCACCAAGTGTTCATAGTTTATAGAGAGTCTCTGGGAGTGTTTATGGTGTGTATGGCAGATTATAGTCAGGGGATAGGCGGGGGTGCACAACTGGGACTGTCTGCCACGGTCCCTCACCTGGCCCGTCACACAGCAGCTGGTTGCTGTAGGGACTGAAGCAACTACCCAAGAAACTCATTGACATGCTACTGATGCTGCATTGTTTGAAATACAATTTGACGTGATGGAAGTTCGCCAATCCATCCAGCCAGATCCATTTCCAAGCACAAAAAGTAGCAACCCTTACTCCCAAACCGTGACGGCAGAGACACGCTTTCACCCTCTGTAGTGCAGACGGGTGACGAGGTGTTTAGGTGACTGTTACCATTGTGTGACTAATTGGTGGATCATTAACGAAAACACACACACAGTCAGCCAAAGCTCTGTGGCTCAGCAAGCCGATCAGCTGCTCTCCCTCAGGAGCAGCATCACTTAGGAAACCAGGGTGCTGAGTGAAAGCAAAGTGTGTCCTGAAAGTGACATAACTGCACGATGGCTGCTGGGTTCACTGAAGCCACTGCAAAAACTGGAAAAGCAAGAATTTGGAACTAATGATAGTAATAATTCCAAATAATTGATAGTGTTATTTAGATATTTCTCAACAGGCAAGCAAACAGTTTAACATATATGGAGAATTAATAAATATTTACTACTAAATTAAGCTTTTCTTTCAGGGAAATTCCTCTTTTCCCAATAATTAGCGTCAAATGACATAGTCATATCTGGTAAATTAATAATAGACCTCTAGAACAAATATTTACCTTTTTTATTTAAACTTAAGTAACATGGAGACAAGAAATGTTCCCTACAATTGAATATAAATATTATGTATATTTTATTTAATACTTCATGAGATAGAGCTATTTCTTACTAGCTCTATCTCATAATTTGTCTGCCAAAGCAGGAAAGTACAGACAATCATGGAAAAATCACACACATCTTACGTCTTACCTAGTTAATGTCTTACCTTTACTTTCCTTCAGTTAATCCAATAAAAATCTTTCCGGTGACTTCACACAGACACACCCAGAGCAGCTCTTCCCCGGCCAATCCATCCTCAGCGGACACAGTGGATCTTATGAGAGGAAAAATCAAACTGCATCCAACACTCCAAGAAAACAAGTCCTGCTCTTGCAACATTTTCTGCGAGCCTCCTCTTGAAGAGTGCAGGCACACGTGGTCCACCTGATCCTCAGATGGACATGCAGGAGGCTGGCAGAATGGGAGATGCAGGGCGGGGAAATCTTTGAATGGTTAACAGTCCAGATGTCAGCTTCAGACTGAGGAGTCTTCTGGGAAAGCCTCCTGGCACTGCCTTTCCTCTGCACGTCTCTTCCACTGGAGAATAGTGAGGAACAGAACAAAGAAAGCAGCAATTCTACAGATGATCTCATTTGTTGTGTTTGATATTCAGCTTTCTTTATAAATCATATATTGATACTGTTGTATATATTGTACTATTTATATATTGATAATTTCTTGGCCTTACATAATGTCTTATGTAGGGCTTTTTACTTGATATTTTCTTAAAATCAATTGTTTTGAAAATGTTTACATTTGTCTTCATTTGTAGTGCACTGACATATTGGCCTAACCTACTATTACTAACTCACTAATATTACTGATGTTATACTATTTACAGATTTCACTAAATAAATACATCATACACTGGTGGTGGTTGAGATGAGTCCCCCCCCCCCTTCACTCTGAAGCACTTTGAGTTTCTATGATGAATCGTTATATAAATGTAATGCATTTACTATCTACTCTGTACTAAAACTAACTTCTCCTCGACCAGTTTCAACAGTAAAATGCTGCTGATGCATTGATGCATCAGTATTAATGATCTGCTGTCATACATAATAATATACATCAGTCAACTTTTTTCTGCAGCATGAGTATATTCTTTTATAATACACATGTACTTTGTACATGTCTACTTTTACTCAAGTAAGATTTTGAATGCAGGAATGCGACCCTAACACACAACAATGACTGGACCGAGACTGAACAGAAACACCAGGCACGCACACTCACACACAAACGAGCAGGGCAGGAGTAACACAGGTTACAGGGATCAAGGCTAACGAGGCAGGCAGGCAGAGAGACAGCAGGGGGGAACAGAGAGGCACTTACAGATGCAAAACACAAGACCATACATTAACTAGAACAAAGTATTTAGTGGACAAGCAGGCAGAGGAATTACTGGGGGAACAGACACCAGCAAACAGATCACAAACTAACACCAACAAGGAACACAGACTGAAGCTAAGATTAAACAGAACTCAGAGCAGACATGGGCAAAACAACAAACACCGAAGTACACAGACCAGGACTAAACACTAAGACATTGTAGTGATCAGCCAGTGTGGATTTGTTCATTTTATATCAAATAAATTTGGAGACTCCAAATTCCTTCTCTCTCCCTGAGAGAAAGAGGAGGTGGGTTGAGATATCCACACCCTCTGGTCCCTCTGCTCTGCCCTTGGGACGTCCGCTCGAACCCTTTGGTCCCCCAGCTCTGCCCTCGGGACGCCCGTCTGGCCCTATTCCCTCGGTTCTACCCAGCCCGTTCGCCTGACCCTTCCCAGCCCTGTCCCCCTCTTTGAAACCTCTGTGTCTCATTTTGTTTTGGACCCTGGACCCCCACCAGCCGGACCCCTGTGCAATTCCCCCCCCCCTGACTGACTTCTGCCAAGCCCTGCCTAGCCAACCGGGAAGGCCGCCGGGAGGCGTCCGTTGAGGGGGTGCCCTGTTGTGGTGGCAGCCCGGCTGACGGTGAGTGTCCTTTTTGTCTGTGATTCTGTTTTTTCCCTGGTTTTCTATGTTCTGCCTGCCTCCCTGTGTCTCCTCCCCTGTGTGTTCCTTCTCTCTCTCTCTCCCTCTGCTCCTGAGCCCAGCCAACGACCCGCACCTGTCGTCGTTGCTCCAAACCCGGTGCCACTCAATCACTGAAGCTCTCGCACACATCCAGCATCTTGTTTATTTCCCTGTGCCTTGTCCCTGCAGTGTCACTAACCCTGTCTTTCTGTCTGTCTCTCCCCAGGTCCACTCACCCTCGTCCTCTGTCTGGTCAGCTGGGCTCGCTCACCTGCCCTCTCTCCTCGGGCTTCCCCCCACTGTGTCCTCCCGTGCCTCCTCTCTTCCTCGGCCCCCAGTGTTCCCCGGCTCTCTGGTCTCCTCGGTTCCCCGTGCCTGCGTTTCCCCGGCATTCACCTCTCCGTCGACTCCAGTCCATCACCCCTTTTTCCCAATAAAACCAGTTAAAACTGAGCATTGAATTTGGGTCCACTCTGTCCCCACACCACAACCGTAACAGTTTTGGGCAGTTCGATCGTAAAACTTGCCACCTTTGGTGCAGCCAAGATAAGACTCGGTGCCAGACAAATTAACACTAACCAGGAATTAACTTTCTCCTGAACAGCCTATCAGAACTCTTTTTGAAAGAGGGCAGGAAACCCTAAACTGCCCCCCACACACGTAACCATGGCAACTGACCTTCCTCTTTGTTTAATTACCTGACATCAAAGGATATTCTCCTCTTCACACCCAGATGGGAATTGGTGAGAAACTCCAGAACACCCGAGGAGGACAGCTCACATTCCTTTGTGTGGACAAAGGAATACTGTCTCCTCAAAAACTTGCATTACCTTGTTTAATTAAATAATCTTTGCTAAGTTACTAAACAGGTCTCTCCGCTCCATTAGAGTAGGCCTAGTTATATTACTGTGTTGTTGCTATTGAAAAAAAGAATCCATATAAGTTAATTCCGCAGTGTTTTAATTTTCAGCAATGATTCCTGACATTCGTTTAAGTGATGTTTTTAACTAATACTATATTTCCAGCTCCTTCTGACCTCTTATACTTCGAAATGATATATACCGAAATGTTATCCTGTGTTAAATAATTAATTTCCCCAGCTCCTGAGCAAATGATTGTTTAAAGAAATAATCATTTGCTATCTTCAGTCTCCTCATGGAACCAGAGTTCAAGAGGACAAAATAAGTATTACATGCCATCGTTCTGAAACGCCGTTTTTAAAGAGGTGGTATTATGCTTTTTGGCTTTTTCCCTCTCCTTTACTGAGTTATATATCTTTTTTATGCATATAACAGGTTTGCAAAGTGAAAAAGCTCAAAGTCCAGCCCAAAGGGAGTTCCCATCTCCCACAGAAAGCTCTGCTCTCAACCGCTTGAAAACAGCTCGTTTGTAGTCCAGCCTTTACTTCCTTTACTTGTGACGTCACAATGAAATCGTGTCATAAAGCTTGCCAAGCGGCTAGCGGGGGTCAGGCACGCCCTCAAACCAAGCTAGTCCGAGTGCAGGCCCTTTGGCACGACTCCCCTTCGTTTAGTTTTCCATTTTGTACCTGTACCTGCTTCCAGATTGCTGATTGATCAGAGAGAATATTCACTATTCACTGCATCATCATTGTGTGCACCAGACAGAGACCAACAACAGAAAGTTTTATATTTTACAGTTTTCGTATGTAATTTCATCACTAAATCCACTTCTGAGAAGTTTTGAGGTGAAATCAGCTGTGTAGATTTCGAATATTGACAGTTTTAGGAGAAGTGATGGCGGAACAAAAATGTGCTTGAATATTTTCGGAATTGAGGAGCTCCGCAAGTGTCTGCGGGGGAAGCCTGTGCCAACCTGCGGGAGGAGCGTGTGAGGCCGGCCAGCCGCCCGCTCACAGAGCCCTCTGCTCCCGCCGTCACACAGACCGCTGCAGCAACAACGGCAGAGGAAAACACAGCTGGAAGGTTTTCATACCGCTTATCTGTCTTTACATTCTGAGTAATGTTGAAACGTTTTAACCGTAGATATATTTTAAGAGCTGGTGTGTGTGTGTCGCATTGAACATTACGTCGCGGCAGTTGTGTGTGGCGCCGCTATGACGACAATCTACGTACTATCTCTGGGTACTATCTGCAATGGAAACCGGAGCAGGGCCGAGTAGAGTCGAGTCTATCGATTTGCGCTTTGGTAGCATTTTTCGGCAAGGCAGCATAGATCGTCAGAACACCGGCTACAGTTCAACGTTTAGTCCTGATGGTAAGATGTGGAACAATGATGTTGTAGACTTGTGAGTAACTTATACCATCTGCTAGGTTACGGTCTCAGTCTGAAGCGGCTTTGACTTGGATCACACTACCTTGTTTCTTACGACCCGCCCTTCTCTGCTTCTGATTGGCTAGTAGTCCTTACCTGGGATCTGCGCATGTGCAATTCCCCACACAGATTTTGTACAAGTAAGATGCATCACTCTGTAGCTCAAGAGCGGAGAGTACAACACACAGGGTGAAAAGAGGAGCTGCAGCAATGTACAGTATGAGAAAAATATGGTGTTTTTTGAAAATTAAACCATGTAAACCTGTTCTGGTACAACCCCTAATTAAGACTTTGAACCTGAAAATGAGCATAATACCACCTCTTTAATGTATAATTGTCACTCTGTATTTATCTGTTCGTAATCTGATGCCATGTTCGTGTAACTTGCTTATATTCTCCAAGTAAGAATGTGTAACAGCCAATATTATCCAGGAAGCTAGATAAGTTCCTTTCATCTGATGTGATTCCTATGAAATGCTAACCTTTTAAGGTTTAACTACTGACCATTGTTTTCCTATTTATCAAATGCTTAAAACTAAGAATGGTAGAACCGTTTGACAATTAAGGTTTGATTGTGGGAAGATATTTGATTACAATACACGCAAATAGGTTTTAGAATAGACATATTAAAAGTTAAAAGACAGTCTCTCAGGAAACCGGAACAAACCCTCAGGGGACCTGGCCAGGTGCGTCCGTTACGGGAGCAGTAACAAAGGACAATCAAACCTTTAACCTGAGCCGAGGTTAAAAGCCTCCCACTGCAAGTTTTCTTCAATAAGCTGACCAAGACGGACCTCCGGAGCAATTCCCTGGCAGAGAAAGCGACCGGCCGACGGCTTTAAGCCGTCCTAACCGAGAACACACGGTACTCAGCTGGCGTGAGGCCGCAGCAACCCGGCTAGGAGAAAAGACAAGCAGTAAGACTAAAACCCTGCATTCTGTGATCAGTGATGTCCAATAGTTTGTTAATCCATTATCTTTAACCCTTAAAACTCAGCCAAATTATTATCATAGCTTGCGTTTATTACTTGGCCTTATGAATCAAACTCTCCCCACAAGAGAACCCAATTTACTATAGAACCCCACATTCTCCTTGTTTTCCCCATGTTTGTTTAGCCATTGTTTATTTCTTTGATGTATATTTAACCGCATTTATATCCACCTTTAGTTAGTTAATAAATTTCACCATAATCACAGGAACTGTGTGTGTATTGTTTAACTCCAAGTCCCTGTCACAGAGAACTTACTCCTTCGATATGAGATTGACTGATTGATTTGAGCGATTATTAACTAACTGATCACTAGTGAATAATTGTGTAATTATTAAACATTACTCAGGGGGCTGGAGACCGCTTTCACCTTTCATTCCTCCTAAATGACTTGATTGAGTTCACCTGTTCACACAATTTAAGGACTGCACTCCCTTTCACTCACTCTTTCACTTCCACATGGGGCGGTAGGTTCTGATTGAACAACTTATGTGTGTCTTTTTTTCCTAATTATGTTGACAAATGCATCCTTTACATTGGAAGAAATAAAACGTTCAGAGGACATTCCAAGTTTCCTGGCTTACTTCTACACATTCTGACCGATGCGCCCAATGACGATAGTAAATGTACCTTTTGAACCTCCTACTTTACACAGACCAATAAACAAAACTCACAGAGACCTAAACAGGACCGATCAGGCAGAATGTGACAGTAGCCCCCCCTTGAAAGGACATGCCCTGATGTCCTTAAACAAAAGTCACAAAAGAAAAATAAACTCTCAAGCCG